CGTGCAGAAAGATTCGAGCAATGCCAAGTGTGCCATTCTCAAAACCAGTTCAAACACAACACCAGTGCACTTTGAGTAACTAGCTCAGTTCGGGCATGGCAACTCTCTGAGGGTTTAGCATGGTAATGTGCGTGACAATGTTAATGTGTTTAGTCCTGGCAGAATAGATCTGCTACACTGCTGCTGCGGCAGAGCAATCACTGAGACTTGCTATTGTATTGGATAATACATCCACAGACATGCTGCTGTGAGTATGTGGGAAATATTGCTGCTGCACATGAAACAATACATAGCATACATGAATCACCCTGTAGCAGATCTATACAGGTGGAGCTGGGGAAGGTGGAGGGTTTCTGAAGGGCGCTGCAACTGCTACAGCAAGCACAAGCCAAGTATTTGAATATTGAGCAGCAAGCTCATTGGCTGTTTATGTGAAAAGGAACCAATCAGATGCGACATGTGAATAACGATGTGATTATATAAGATTGAGTCAGAACCTGTCGGCTTGCGCCATCTAGAGTTTCATGACAGACCTTTGTATTTACAATGAAATCAGTTACCGCTACAATGGGGCTTAAACAAAGTGATTAATGTAACTGAACCTGTGCGTCTGTGTGATGTATATCTGAAAAAATCCTTGACAAATCACATTACACAATCAAACAGGTTTTCTATTACGATGAATTGTGGCACAACTAAACTGTTCTTCTGCCACTCCTGGAATGATAAAAAATCAGATCAGGACAAAATGGATAGTGCCATAACTGTAAAAGAAAGGGCTTTTGTTGTACCATCAATTGAAGACAACAATTCCCTGATGTTCTTGAAGACAAATGGACAGCACAGGACACAAAAGCAGCATAAATCTGCATTAAGCATTTGGCATTCATAAGAACTGGGATTTGGGGATTTTCTTTTGCCCTGTTGTTGATGATTCTCACTGACGTTCAGCCAAAACGTTTCCTCCAGTCTGATACATGTGGTGTGACCAATGCCTAAGGAGTGTGATAGAATACCGCAGCTGTGCTGCGACTAAACCCTCAGATTTTATCTTCCAAACATTTGTTCTTACAGTCAGCGATCACTATCAGGGCTTAGTGAGCTCTGAGGTCACATCTCTGGTTGGTTTAATAAAAGGTCTGCTCAATGATGTGAGTGTCATAAAGGGACAGCCGATCAAACACTTCGTTTGACTACAGGAATGAGAGTCATTCTATCAGACCCATGAGACAAAAGGGGTTAGTAACAGCACATCCATAACTACAAGTCCTGTAGCCTCTTGGGCTTCATCACACGCAATCTTCACAAGGCAGCAGATCTGGAGAGGAAGACAGACCACCTGCTGAGGTTTGTGTGTCCAATACAATAATTTGACTAAAAAGACTCTGACTAAGGGCAGAGGAGGCCAGAAGAGAATAATTCAAATTTTCAATAGTCTTGAAGAAAATTGAAGAATTATTTATAGTAATCATGCATCAAACAAGGAAAATAAATCTCTTACAATTACTTAGAGGATATAAAATAAAAAAAGCAACATACTGTCAATTATCACCATTCATGGCTACTAATGTAGCACAACCGAGAAGTCAGAATCATGTCAATCATCTCGCATCACACTCTCACCGACCCTGTTATAACTGCAGGTATTGCCACCAAAAACAAATTCAGAAAGCATCCTGTTGTTATTCTTGGATTTTTTCAGAACTCTGAGTGATTTCTTTAGAAACTCTCTGGCTTTCCTCTCATATTTCAGAGAAAATAATCTTAAGTTAGCTTTGCAAATAACACATAGAGTCCCTTTGGAAACAATGGAATACTGGCAAGACGGAAACTGTGAGACAGTGTTTAAACAATAAAAATGGAATTGCATTTCTGTGATATAGACCATACATATCTCAACAAACAATCCAACATTTTTGCGATTCCATTGTTTCTTTGGGGAGCTTTCCTAAAACCACATCAAATCTTTTTCACAATTTTTCACAAGCTGAAAACAACAGGAGTTTTAGTGGAGCTTAATTAAATTAAGGAGAACTTTCCAAGTAGATTAAGCCTTTCTACAAAAAAAACAAATAGCTTGAATTAATCTGTTGTAGTAGTTAATCATTGTTCTAGTATTTAATCTAGTATGTAACTAGATTAAATGAAAATCTGGAGGATAAAGAATGAAAATATCATCAACATCCTCATGTTCTTCTATCTATCTTTTAAAAAGAGTTCATACTTGTAAGCAGGATAATCTTTTTCCTGTCAGCAGTAGTTAACGTTATGTCTGTAAGACACTTCTCACCCAGTATTATAAAACTCTTCCGGCAGGATGTGTCTGCACAGAGTTGGCTTTCGTCCTGTGGGCTCTGCCAGCTATACTTACTTTACAACACAAACTTTTATCACTGCCCAGTGCCCACTTTTGATGGTGTCACAGGAGAACATCACAGTGCAGGGTGCTGGCTACCTTTTTTATCAAAGCCTCTATCAAAGCAAGTCTAAGAAAATTATAAACTAACTGATTAAATGTGTTACAACCTGCCAATTTGCAAGGCACTGCAGTGATGGAAAGCTGCTTCATTATTGTAGAATGCTAAGCTACAATTAAATTATTTGAAGATGATGAAGTCAACCTGTTCTTTTGACAAAAAGTAGTTAGCAACATTACACACTGCCAAACAATAACAACACTGAGGCTACTTAAGGGGGCCATCACTTTTTAAACACATAAAAACCAATAGAAGAACAGATAAACCAGAAAAAAAAGCTAAGACAAGCAAACTAGGTTTTTTTTTCAAATTAAACATATAAGTGTGACGTGAAATAATAGGATACACCTTCGTTTATTAAACGGTGTTAAAAACTTTGCAACTAACAGCAGTAATCTAATCAGTGACTTTTTAATAAATTCATTTATTTGAACAAACTGATTCCCTAAAATTTTAGTGACTCTACAAAACCAAGACCTTTTGAGCAGATCTTTGAATATTTGTTGCGAGACTAAATCACATTTTTACAGGTTAGAGCATCTAACACCCCGGTAGTTTTGTCTGAAACACAAATCACACGCCATGCTCTACATTGCCTATTTTCTAGCAATTTCTGCAGCAGCCAGAAGGTCTTTGGTAACCTGCATGAATTTCCCACCTGCACAGACAATGCAGCTGTGCAGAAGGACCCCCGAAGCCTCCAGAGATCTGCTCTAAATCACAGTCACTTAGAGAAGCCAGACTCTCCTCCAGACCTGTATTCTCACACTCACTTTCACAGAAATGCCATAAGGGAACACTGATCCTACAGTGTAAGGAAAGGGATTTAACTGCCCTATCAGCCCTGCTGTGACCTTAGAGTGGTTATGTTCTACTGATGCACCTGGAGGCTGTTCTATACGATTGTAGTGGAAGTGCTGATGAACAAAATGAGTAAAGCAGAATGAACTGACAGAGAGGTCCAGAGGATGCAATAATGAAAGCGAGAAGCCTTTTGGGAGGACAACATATATTCTGATACAGGGGTTGGAGGTGCATAGAAAAATGCACTCATGACATGCTAATTCTCTCTCAGCAGTATCAAGGAAGATAAACGGCCTTTCATTTAAGTGTTATCATGACACTGATAGAACACAGTCTGTTAAAATTCATCACACAAGCCAACTGACATTCACCGAGTGCTATAAGAATGAGATAGAGCTTTAGTTCAAAGCTCAGATAACTTGTGTGCTCATCATACTGACAGCTGGATCCATTGAATCCTGCGGGGCAGTCACACAGTTGTTTCAAGCGCCCTGTACACACAGCCCCCATTAAAGCAGACACCGTAAGTGCAGAGAGCTGGAGCAGAAAAGAGATTTAGAAGCAGACAGTCAAGTAAATTGTTCAACCGGGAAATTTAACACATGAAAATACATCTTCACAGAAAATACTGAAAGTTGGTTCAACATGATCAAATTATTCATTATTTGTTTTATTTCACCAGGCAGTGATAATGACAAATCACTTATAATATTCTGTTTGTTATGGCAATTCAGCTGCTAAATCAGTTACAGCAAATGAGAGAACCAAATGAAAAAATAGAAAAGAAATAGAATTACACCCCAAAATGTAGTTTTAGTTTGATGACTGTCATATTAAATAAGTAAATAAATCAATAAAAGGAATAAATAAAGTAATACTATGAATTCATATTGTGTCCATTTGACAGCCTGTTAATTTCTTTCTAACTGAAGATCCAGAACGCAAAAAGACCATATCATCTTTATTTGATATTAAAACTGCTCTAGGCCTTTTTTTTTTAAATACCGACAAAATACATCTATCTGACAGATGTAACTCAAAAAAGAAGAAAACAGCATATAGCTTTGTATGATATTAAATGCCAACTTATAAAGAGACTTACATGTATTACAACTGTTGATTATTAAACTACTGACAGAGGCTGAGCTTAGCAGGAGCAATTCACCCTCATAATCTAATTATGGGATTCATGTAATAGGATATTATTGTAGAATTAAGATCTATGGGGGATCCAAAAAAAAACAAAACAACAACAGTGATTATCCCTGAGATGCTCTCCAAACTCATTGCACCGAAAGCTACAGCAAATGTCCTCCACCTACAGCTGTCTTTTGATGATCACAAAGGTTCATTGTGTCCTAGCTCACTGCAAGAAGAGGTCACGAAGCCTTCCAGATTCTTACAAAGCCATTGATGAGAAGCTATGCTCTGCCTCTTTATGGCCTTTAAGCATTAAAACATGTTTAGGCTGCGATGAACTGGCTGCCATGTCATTTCTAAAAATACAAATACATGCTACGTCATGTCATCAAGGGCAAACCACTCCACAAAATAAAGCAGAAGTGACAGTAGTAAGAGACCCTAAAGAGATTAAGCAATGTGGGCTAACCATTCAAAACATCATCTTTTGGATTAGTCTCATAGATTTCAACACAACACTGACTAAATCCTGTGATTTACTATTTGATATTTAGAGAATATACAGTTCCACTGTGCCCAAACAACAATCCTGAACCATCCTGAACAAAGATAAAGAGTCTATTGAAATGTTGCTGGTCCCCAAAATGAGCATCTGATGAAAAGTTTCTGTTCACGATTTACAACAGCAACAAAGCCAGAATCCCTCTCATGGAATCTCCAGAGAAGAACAGGAATCTCATTAATCATGTAAGCCATTCACTACACAATCCTTCAGTGAATGATGTTTATGAATCATTAACCTCAACCCTACAAATCTACAATTAAAGTTTAGGACCTATATGTTTGTTTTTCATGTCATTTGGATGTCTGATGAGAAATAGGACAGACCTGACAGTGGAAATACTTACGATAGAGGCAGCCTGCCTCTGCATTGAACGGGGACCATCCACGACAGCATTTGTATGTAGTCTTAAAATCTTGTCTGTAGACCTGCCTGTAGCCTATGTAGTAGGCAGTCCTACAAAGTGATAAAAATATGATTACTATCATCAAACTAGTTCAGCAAAATTTGAGACAAATAGCATGGATTCTCACGATTGGCCAATCAGAATTAAGTATTTCAGAGAGCCGTGTAATAATAGACTTCTAAACCCCAATTAGTTCAGCATTTGTTCAGTGCAATGGCAATTTTAGCAAGCCCAGTGTCTGTTTAATGAGGGCTATTCAATGATCTTCAATAATTGCCAAGAGGGATGATGGCTCTGAGAGTCTTGAGCTTCCTTTTGATTCCCAAAGCATCTGAGACCCTTAATAACCATCGTCTCTCAACAACAGGATCAGTTTCTAACTGCTGTCTTTCTCTAGCCCTCTGCCCATTCTCAAAAGCGGCAAGAAGTTGGCTGGCACTGAAAGGTGTACCATTGAGAAATGGCTGTCAGGGTAAAAAGGACTATTGATAGTGAATCAGGACAGAGGGACTCTTTACTACATGTAAAATCTAGTGCCAACTTTTAAAATATTTCATTTCTTTTGTTGTAACTGTATTCAATCTAACTAGATCTTTAAGTCAAATTAATATGTACCTCCTTTCATAGTCCATACACCAAGCATGACCTGTGCATCCTTGCCTCCAAACCTTCACCATACGTGTAAAAGCCTGTACACATGGCTTTTTCTCAGCTGTGATGATTCTGTCTTTTTCTGAGCAGACATTCGGCCTGAACAAAGAAGAATGAAAGAATTACTTTCCATTTCAAGTGCATAGTGCAGCTCTTACATCAACAACTCTGTTTTGAAGTCTTTTAGAACACAATAACTGGAAATTGATTTGTAATTAATATAATAATAATAATAATAATAATAATAATAATATTAAATTACCTGAGCAGACATTCGGCCTGAACAAAGAAGAATGAAAGAATTACTTTCCATTTCAAGTGCATAGTGCAGCTCTTACATCAACAACTCTGTTTTGAAGTCTTTTAGAACACAATAACTGGAAATTGATTTGTAATTAATATAATAATAATAATAATAATAATAATAATAAATTACATTTTAATAGTGACATTTACTGCATATATCTGAACATTAGAAATACTGATTTGCTTAATAAAACTTTTAATTTAAAATTTTGTACATTTTTATATACTATATTATATAGTATAATAGTATACACTATATCAAAAGTACTTTATACTTAAAACATAATTCTGTAAGAAAAAAAGATGCTTAAGTTCGAATTTTTTTTTAATTCATTCATATTTGTAACAAACGTTTCATGCAAGAAAAGAAACAGATTTGTGCATACAATCCAATTTTCATGCTGTCAATAAATTTGCAAAATTAAAATAATAAAATCATGACTAAAATGTAATTTATTTTCATGCTACTTACATAAAAGGCTGCAGAGCTCGATGACAGCACGATGAACGGATCTCTGTAAACAGGAATAACAACATCACCGCGTGTATATCCATGTCAAAAAGCCTCACAACACTTTTCCATACAGATTAAACTGAGTGTGTTCAGGCTGTTTCATCTGGAAGCCAGCAAACAGCTGAGAAGGAACGGCATATCTGGTACTGTAGTCCTACGGAGTGTTTACTAAAAGCATTTACAGTAACGTGTTGCATGGATGGGACAGGCTTGGACATACGAGTGATATTTTAGAGAAGGTTACCTATGGGTTAATGATGAGCAGCGTTTCCTTGCATCCCCCCCTCTAAAAATGTTTTAATTAATTCTGTTTTTTTCTCAGTTGCATTGCACTGCAAACGTGTTCAGTGAACATGCTAAAACATACTGTCAACACCCAGATATTTAAACATAACGTAGTCGTTAGAGGTCAATCGATTTGGGTTACAATTGTTTTTGCAATGAGTTTAGTAATAAAACAACAGCGTTTGAGCTGTAGCAAACATTGAACACCTGCGTAGGTACAAACGAAATGTTTGAAATTGTCTTTAGATTGTGCTGCCACCTAATGGCCTAAACTGCACTACAGAGTAATACTAGACCATTCAAAATGGAAATTATAAAAACCCACAAATATTTTAAAGCAGGACGAAATCATATTTAGATGGGCATGTCACAGAACATTTTTTTTTTTTAATGCACGCCCTGTATCCATGTTGATTCACATAGAAATCCATCAATACAACATAGGCTAAATGGTCTACAGACAGACATATGAAAAAGGTTCCAAAGTGTATTACGATTGCATCTGTATTTACATTTTATATTGCTAAATAATTAATATTTTCATAATTTATTTAATAATTTGCCTAAAAATAAAAGTTCAAGAACTTTGAGACACAACTTATTCAGATATTTCAAGTTATTTTCGATCTTTTTTAGCAATTTATATTATCGCTCATATTTTATAACAGCTTTCATATCATTATATTAGTTAATGTATATTGTAAATGACCCTTTAAGAAGCATTTTAAATCCAATCTATTGGCATCTCAAGCGAATGCCTGATGTTAATATGTTGAGCAGCAGTTAACACCGATACATTTAATTACATTTTTTCGATCTTTTTTAGCAATTTATATTATCGCTCATATTTTATAACAGCTTTCATATCATTATATTAGTTAATGTATATTGTAAATGACCCTTTAAGAAGCATTTTAAATCCAATCTATTGGCATCTCAAGCGAATGCCTGCTGTTAATATGTTGAGCAGCAGTTAACACCGATACATTTAATTACATTTTTAAAAATATTTTTGTATATCAAGAACTAAACTAAATTCTAACCTCTTATAGGATGGAAAGAATGCCTAAATACATTTTTATTGTTTTATCAAAGGTTGGCTATTTGGGTCCTTTACCGCAGAGCATTGTGGGAGTTGTTCCTCTGCAGCAATGGCTTGGCTTGTAGTAAGATTAGCAATATCTGTGTCTTTATTATATACTGCATCGGCGGTATTTGAAGACCAAGTTGGAAAGTTTGATTGGTATGTAAACGGAATTTATAGCTGTGTGTTGGTTTGGCGTATAATCCATTGTGGGATTTCTGCGACTGTAAAAACAGCCGGTACTTTAAGCAGGCTGCGGACTGATGTCAGCTACACCGGGCTGGTCAGTCTTCATGTCTTAACATCACTCTTAACTACCTGCGATTTCTTTCAGGAGGCAACAGTTTATCGGCAAGGTGCGTTTACCGCTGATTACAGAACCGACTTTTCTGACAAGATGCGCGTTAAATATCGCATGCGATTTGTCGTGCAGCCCTAATATGTATATATATACAATGAAAGTCAGAGGGAGTTGCAACTGTTTAGTTACCAGCATTCTTCAGAATATCTTCTATGTTCTGCTGAAAAAAGAAAGTCATACAGGTTTGGAACAACATCAAGGGGAGTAAATGATGACAGTATTTTCATTTCTGGTTGAACTGTCTCTTTAAGGGTTATGCTATTATAGAACAATAGTATCTATCCTAGTTCCTTATTACTTCACCATAGTTGAGCTAACTAATTTTCTAAATTCCAAATGTATTCATCTTGGGTTTCTTAATCAAAATAATCTACATGGACAGGTGAGAGAGGTTTGCATTATGGATATTAGAATAAACCTTCCTATTAATGTGAACTAGTTAATTAAAAAGCAATGATTTTGTATGATTCATTCATTTAACAGTGTCAGTGAAATGTTTTTGTTTCTTGTAGTCTGGCGGCATGTGGATAAGACTGGACCAGAGGGCCATATTGATGCACTGCTTATGTATGGACAGGGTAAGCATGCAATAAAAAGCTTGTGTTGTGAAATTAGGTTTTGTTTCTTGCCTCTGAATTTGTGTTTGTTGTCTCTTAGATGCTGTTGTTGTTGCTGGAAATGGCCGTCTGCTTCGCTCCTGGGAGACCACAGTCGGTGGCTTGAAGTGGGAGACAGTGCTTGATACGGGAAGGTTGTATGTTGTTTATGTTATTTTGTGACAATATTAGGATTAACTGGTGCATCAAACTGACAGTGTCCACTTTTGACCACAGCTTTCAGGCTGCTGCTTTAGTTGGAGTTCAAGACCTTGTGAAGTATGTTGCTGTGCTGAAGAAATCAGCAATCTCGCTCCATGACCTTTCAAGTGGCAGCCAGATATGGGAGGAAAACCTACCTGACAAGTGATAAAAAAAATCTTGGAATTCAGAATAACAGCTGTTCTTTTTTTTTGCAACTTCTTATTACAGTTATTATTTGTGTAATTAGTTTTTTTTTTTTTTTTACGGAATTTATAGCTGTGTGTTGGTTTGGCGTATAATCCATTGTGGGATTTCTGCGACTGTAAAAACAGCCGGTACTTTAAGCAGGCTGCGGACTGATGTCAGCTACACCGGGCTGGTCAGTCTTCATGTCTTAACATCACTCTTAACTACCTGCGATTTCTTTCAGGAGGCAACAGTTTATCGGCAAGGTGCGTTTTGCCTTGTTTGACACTCATTCTCAAGCGTCTAAAAAGCTCCTGGTGGCAACTGACAAGAACGTGTTTGCTTCCCTCAATTCAAGGACAGGAGACCTGTGTAAGTCATTCTGCTCATCTGACTATCTTTTTACGTTAAATCGTATATAGGCATTTATAAATCGCATTCAGAATCTGTTTATAAGCGTTTATTGGTTATTAGATTGTGAAAGAATGAGCGTCCATAATCCGACTTCAGCCCACAGTGTTGCTCCAAAAACAGTTATAAGCCACCATTTGACACTTAACCATAATTATTATTATTATTATTATTTTGGGACAAAATCACTTTTACATGGCTGACAAGTGATGCATCATTTATAATTTTTTCTGTCTTCTTTTGAAGTGGACAAATGTGAAATAAAAGCATGTTAAAAAAAATAAGCCTGTAACCAGAAAAATGTCATTTTAATAATTTGTGCATTAAAGGGTTAACTATGTGATTAAAAAAAATAATAATTAAAAAAAATTTATTTTAAAGATATTGTTTTATTAGTGAACCTTTACAACGTTTAGAAAAAAAGTAGATGAGCTTTGTTGTGATATAAATATCTCTTCTTATGTTTGTTGTGATGTAGGCAAATTTCTTATGTTCAATGAATAACAGGTTGTCTATTTACAACCCATACTTAAAGGGACAGTCCGTCAAAAAAAAAAATAAAAATTGTCTAGGCAATGAATCCTGAAATTCTTTGTGGTTGCTTCATTAAAGGGATAGTTCAACCAAAAATGTCAATTCTGTGATTGTTTATGATTTGTTGTTACAAATGTGTATGACTTCGCTGCTTATGCGGGACACAGAAGAACATGTTTATAAGAATGTTAGGACCCAAACAGTTTTGGTTTCCATTGACTTCTATTATATGGACAAGAAAAAAATTTATAAAATAAAATATATATATATATATATGTATATGTATATGTATTAGGGCTGCACGATAAATCGCATGCGATATTTAACGCGCATCTTGTCAGAAAGCCGGTTCTGTAATCAGCGGTAAATCTCCATCACGTGCGTGCTTTCACATTGAGCAGCATTAACTACACAGAGCCGTTGTTCACTGACGAGCTGCGCCAAACCACGTTCATATTCGCGCGAGTTTTTGCGCAGCTCGTCAGTGAACAACGGATCTGTGTAGTTAATGCTGCTCAATGTGAAAGCACGCACGTGATACCTGAATTTGTGTTTGTTGTCTCTTAGATGCTGTTGTTGTTGCTGGAAATGGCCGTCTGCTTCGCTCCTGGGAGACCACAGTCGGTGGCTTGAAGTGGGAGACAGTGCTTGATACGGGAAGGTTGTATGTTGTTTATGTTATTTTGTGACAATATTAGGATTAACTGGTGCATCAAACTGACAGTGTCCACTTTTGACCACAGCTTTCAGGCTGCTGCTTTAGTTGGAGTTCAAGACCTTGTGAAGTATGTTGCTGTGCTGAAGAAATCAGCAATCTCGCTCCATGACCTTTCAAGTGGCAGCCAGATATGGGAGGAAAACCTACCTGACAAGTGATAAAAAAAATCAGAATAACAAGAATAACAGCTGTTCTTTTTTTTTGCAACTTCTTATTACAGTTATTATTTGTGTAATTAATTTTTTTTTTTTTTCTTTTTGCTGTAATTAATTGTGAATTCATCTTTTTGCATCCTACAGTGACACTGTTCAGTATCAAACTATTTATTCTGGTGGGAATGGACTGGTATTTGTTTTTGGGGTTGTGCCGAACTCCCATATTGTTATTGTTGAATACAAAATTGAAGATGGAGAAATCATGAACAAGGTATGGAGTTTACTTTCTTTAGGATTTTTAAAAAAAGAAATGGATGCTTTTATTCAGCAGGATGCATGAAATTGATCAAAACTGACAGTAAAAACATTTATAATGGTACACAATACAGTATAATTTACATGTATAATTTTACACAATGCAGTTTTCTTATTTAAAGACTCAGATTACTTCGATAATACAAAAAGATGGAAAATATATTGAGTTTTCTTATTGAGAGAGTCAGATTACTTAGCTAATAATACAGTCACACTTTTTTTCCCTCAGAAATCAGTTGAAGCCGCATGGATGTCAAGCCTGGAGAGCAGCTGTACAGTCATCAGCTCAGGGATCCTATTGTGTGTGGATCAGATCACACAGTCCCTGTATACTCTACTGCTGCAGTCTGCAGAACAGACAGAAATGAGACAGATCCACCTCCAGGTACAGATGTTGCTACGCTTGTATTTAACATACAGTGCTTCCTCAGTCTTCTGTAACTATAATATCATGGGTGGCTCCTCTTTTCAAAGACGCTAGATTTGGAGGTGGCATCTGGATTCCAGCCCGTTCTGACGTCCACTCAACCCAATCCAGCACAGCCTCCTCTTTCTGAGTTCTTCCTGCAGCTCAGTCCAGATCATCACATCCTGCTGCAACTCAAAGACGGCTTCATCGCTCCGCTCCGAGACTTCTATCCA